TGAAGCGCATCTTCACCTTTGGCAAAAAGAAGAAGGCGACTGGAGCCTCGAAAGAAGATGAAATATCGAAACCCGAATCCGACGCTCAGGTCACCACCGGTGCCATCATCAACCTGATGGCTGTCGACGCTTTCAAAGTCAGTGAGATCTGCGCTTATCTACACTTCCTCTGGGCCAACACCCCTGTCCAAGTTGTCGTAGCTGTCTTCTTGCTTTACCGCATCTTGGGTTACAGCTCGATTGCTGGTATTGGTATGATGGTTTTCCTGCTCCCGATCAACATGTATGTTGCGCGACAATTCTCCAAGATCCAGAAACTCATTCTCGCGGCCACCGATGCCCGCATCCACACGACCAACGAAGTCCTCACCAACATCCGGATTATCAAGTTCTTTGCTTGGGAGCAACGCTTCATTGGTCTGGTCAACGAAAAGCGGTACATTGAGCTCAAGCATCTGCGACGGAGATACATTCTGTGGGCGGTGGCAGCTACGATATGGTCGGGCTCGCCAGTCTTAATCACGTTCTTGTCCTTCCTCGTGTACACGAACGTTGAACATAAGGCGCTCATTCCATCTGTCGCATTCACCGCCCTCTCGCTTTTCCAAATTCTGAGGATCCCGCTGGACCAGCTCGCAGATATGGTTGCCCACGTCCAAGAATCCAAGGTTTCAGTTGATCGTATCGAGGAGTATCTGTCCGAGCCTGAGACGGACAAGTACTCGCAACTCGTGACCCAGAAGAAGGACGAAGATGGCCAAGCCATCATTGGATTCGAGAACGGTACGTTCAGCTGGGGAGGAACAGACATGGCAGACCAGGCTTCGGCGGATGCCTTCAAGCTGATGGACCTCAACCTGACGTTCTGTGTCGGCAAGCTCAACGTTGTTGTTGGACCCACTGGCTCTGGAAAGACTTCATTGCTCATGGGCCTGCTTGGTGAAATGACAAAGCTCAAGGGTAGTGTTTACTTGCCTGGTGGACTAAGCCGAGAGGACCTGACTCCCGACCCCGACACTGGACTCACTGACAGTATAGCTTACTGCGCTCAGCAAGCTTGGCTTGTCAACGGTACGGTCAAGGACAATATCGTATTCGCAAGTCCTTTCGACCAGAAGCGCTACGACGAGGTTATCGAAGCCTGCTCTCTGAAGCGAGATCTTGAGATCCTTGATGCTGGCGACGAGACGATAGTGGGAGAGAAGGGTGTCACACTGTCCGGAGGCCAGAAACAGCGTATCTCATTGGCCCGTGCGTTGTACAGCAAGGCTCGTCACGTTCTTCTTGACGATGTTCTGAGCGCTGTCGACGCCCATACTGCCAAATGGATCTTCCATTACGCACTTCACGGACGACTTATGGCCAACCGAACTTGCATCCTCGTCACACACAACGTCAGCCTCTGTTTGCCACACGCAGAGTTTGCTGTTGCACTTGAGAACGGCCGAGTGGTCGCACAAGGCACAGCAGATGAGGTCATCAACTCAGGAAAGCTTACCGAGGATCTTACTAAATCACGGCCCGCATCAAGAGGAGCGTCCAAGCCTCCTTCTCAAGAGCCCTCGGATGCTGGTGAAGAAGCAAACGGCGATGCCAATCACGCCAACGGGTCTGCTAATGGCACCGCAAATGGCAAACCGGACGCTAAGAAGAAGAAGCCAGCCAGCAACAGTCAGGACGAGAAGAAAGCAGAGGGGGGCGTGAAGCTGAGCATCATCACCATGTATCTTCGAGCTATGGGCCCCTGGTACTACTGGCTTGGTGCTACCATTGCTTTTGTAGCTGCGCAAATCTCTTCGGTATCTACCAACCTCTGGATCCGCACATGGGCGAACGCGTACGCAGAAAAGGGCTATGCTGTAGCGAGCAGCCACCACCAATCTCCGGTAACGCATGCTCCGACAATAAGTGGCATGGGAACATGCATGAACAGTGGTACTTGCAGCTGGAACATTCCCTTCTTTACACAATCGGAGCAGCAGTCGTATGCCTACAACACCATGCAGACTACTTTCAGTGACCCGAACCCGGACGTCAACTCTGCATACTTCCTCAGCGTTTACGCCGTTCTTGGACTCATCTTCATGTTCATCACCTTCTTACGAGAAGGTTTCCTCTTTGGAGGGTCTCTCGCTGCATCCAAACGCATACACGAACGTCTCATTCAAAAGGTCACCCATGCCAAGTTCCGCTTCTTCGATCAGACACCACTCGGTCAGCTCATGAACAGGTTCTCCAAGGACATTGAATCCGTCGACCAAGAGGTAGCGCCAGTCGCCATTGGTGTTGTCCATTGCTTCGCTTCAATCATCACGATCGTCATTCTTATCTCGATCATTACTCCTGGTTTCCTAATAGCGGCCTTCTTCATCTCCATCCTCTACTTCCTCATCGGTCGCTTCTACATCAATTCGTCCCGCGACCTGAAGCGATTGGAATCCGTACATCGAAGTCCGCTGTATCAACAGTTTGGTGAGACACTATCCGGCATGACGACTATCAGAGCCTACGGTGACGAACGCCGCTTCATCCGCGAGAACTTGGCGAAGATTAACACTCAACATCGTCCGTTCATCTATCTCTGGGCAGCCAACAGGTGGCTTGCGTTCCGAGTGGACGTCGTCGGTGCCATGGTCGCCTTCTTCTCCGGAGCTTTCGTGGTGCTCAGCGTTGGACACATTGATGCAGGTGCAGCGGGTCTCGCGCTTACCTATGCTGTTACCTTCACCGAGAACGTCTTGTGGTTCGTTCGTCTCTACTCTGCTAATGAACAGAATATGAACTCGGTCGAGCGTGTCAAGGAGTATCTCGATGTTGACCAGGAAGCTCCATCTGTCATTTCAGAGAACCGTCCACCATCCAACTGGCCGAGCAAGGGATCCGTAGAGTTCATCCACTACAGCACGCGATACAGAACTGACTTTGACCTTGTCCTGAAGGACTTGACCTTCAAAATCCTTCCAGGTGAGAAGGTCGGTGTCGTAGGCCGAACGGGTGCCGGCAAGAGTTCGATGGCACTTGCCTTGTTCCGGGCGTTGGAGGCTGAGAAGGGCAAGATCTTGATCGATGACATCGATGTTGGTACGATAGGCCTGCACGATCTGCGGGAGAACGTCGTCATGGTACCGCAAGGTAGGCACATCTTTATATCTTATTAGGGTGGAACAGATGCTGACACTACACAGATCCGACACTTTTCACAGGCACTATCCGAAGCAATCTCGACCCCTTCTCCATCTTCACTGATGAAGAGATCTACACCGCCCTTCGCGAAGTCAACCTGATCTCTACTCTATCACGCCCCGCGTCCGGCTCTGTCACTCCTACTGGAGCGACCACCCCACCTCGCGCTGTCCAGATTCCCGTTCCAACAACAAACGCTGTAACAGCGGATGTCAACGGCAGCTACTCAGCCGCTACCACAAATCCCGGGTCCATTCTGGCGAACCGCGACTGGGAACGTGGCGAGACACAGGAAGACACTATCGTGGTCATGCCTGATGGGCGTACCGTGGACCGCGACGATGTAGCGGCACAGGCTGCTATGGAGGCCGACAACAAGAACCCATTCAAGAACCTCAACTCATTGGTGTCGGAATCCGGGTCCAACCTGTCGCAAGGTCAACGACAACTTTTGTGCTTAGCGCGAGCGCTACTGAAAGCACCCAAGGTTCTGCTGATGGACGAAGCCACAGCGTCCATCGACTATGCCACCGATGCGAAGATCCAAGAAACCATTCGTCAGATCAAGAACACCACCATCACGATAGCGCATCGTCTTCAAACAATCATTGACTATGACAAGGTCCTTGTTCTGGACAAGGGTGAGGTCATCGAGTACGGCCATCCCTACGATCTTGTCCGAAAAGATGGCGGTTCCTTCCGATCCATGTGCGAAACCAGTGGCGAGCTAGAAACCTTGACCAATACGGCAAAGACTGCGTATGATTCAAAACCTACGTCAGCTGCCGAATAGATGATCGCAGCTCCGCCGTATGGTTGAAGGGCCCTGGGATGAGAGGAGAGAGTCAAATTTAGACGGAGTTGGAGACGGAAAAAAAGCATGTGATCAAGACGGTTTTGCATGAGCGAGGCATTATTTCTTTCTGTTTCATTGTCGGCGTATACCAGACAGGGCCTATGGGTGGTCACCTGCTCTTAGTGTGCATATAATTATAATCGACACATTGACGTACCCACCTTATACAAGAAAAAAACTGAATGCGTCTAGAGCCTACATTAACGCTAGGCCACCTATCTTGTAGGTTTTTGTGTTAACGTAGGCTGCAGGCCTGTCCAGCTTTTTCTTAGTTAACGTGTACTACTAATTAGCCTAGAGCCTACATCAAGATAAAAACATACAAAGTAGGCAGTCTAAGGTCAACGTAGGCTCTAGAGTGTCCGGGTTTTCCCATTGTATGAGGGTGACTTGTGTAAGCGATGCTCGTCAGCATGTACATGTCAGCCACAGAAGATCGAATATCGGATCTTGGCGGATCTGACAAAACACACCACCACGTCGACGACGACCACCGATCAGTAAACAGAAGCAAAAGGCTGAACGCGTGCTATCGAGCCAGTCCTGCTACTGCATTCCATCAACAATATTCTGATCGGTTAGCAAAAAGTGCAAATTACGCCGTTGGGCTTTGTGGCTTTCGCTGCAGTACCAATCACGTGGCTGTCTATCCGCCCGCTTTCGGGTCTTACTTGCCTTGTCCGGCGTCTTATCAGCGTTTCGTCATGCAACTTTTCTCTGGTGTATGAGTATTCGCTCGGTGGTGTGTAATGGCTTTTGCTGACTGTAGCGTTGATTTGTCGTTGGGGAGGAGATGGCTTTTCAGTGCGTTGGCTGGATGGGAGGAGGGGAGCAGAGCCGCTTGATGATTAGAATAGATGGTAAAGTGTGTAGGTATAAAGGGGGTGTTATACCGAAACGTTCGAGTAGCCTGCTTGATAGTATCGACTTTTGCGACATCCCGTACGCGCACCCAGAAACCATGGACACCATCAAGGAGATCGTTCGCGACGCGCCTTTTGGCCAGCTTGTTCGTTACACGACGCGTAACCGGTTCTTCAAGTATCCAGAAGAGTTACCTGGGTTCGAAATCCCATCTGCGTATATCGAGAAGGGTACCAGTGTGTCAGCTTCACAGAGCCAGGCTCCCTCCGACAACTCCGCGACTGCGATTAGACAGCCCAGCCCAGCTCCAGCTACTACAGAGTCCCCTCATGTCGACCTCGAAAAACTTCCCTCCAGAACCGCAGAAGGAGTGAACGCATCCGACCGCAACTCAACCTCAACAGCACCCCTCCCGTCGCACACCCTGCCATTCAGCCCCTCACGCCTCGAAGCCGACTTAGCCCTCCACACCACACGTTCATCCAACCACGTAATCGCCCCCGTCAAAACAGCCGACGGCCTCATACTAGCAGAATGGTACACCACGACCGACCCTGCGAACCCGCAGAACTGGTCGCAGGGCAAGAAGGCATGGACGGCGTTCTTGATCTGTCTGTATACGTTTATTGTGTACGCGGGTAGCTCGATCTATGTGAGCAGTACGCTGTTGGTCATGAGTCAGTTCGGTGTTGGGGCCTTTAAGGCGAGTTTAGGGTTGGCGCTTTATGTGCTAGGTGTGTTGCTGATCTGCGTTGAGAGATATGATAGGATGGGATGGATAGCTGATCATTTGTAGGATATGGCATTGGACCGTTGTTGTTTGCGCCTTTGAGCGAGGGTATGTGATAGCCTCTCCTGTCCCTCAATCTTCGCTGACGACTCATCACAGTACCACAACTCGGCAGAAACATACCGTACATCACGACTTTCGCGCTCTTCACCATCCTCACTTTACCTACCGCACTAGTAGACAATCTCGGTGGCTTCCTGTTCCTTCGCTTCCTACTCGGCTTCTTCGGAAGCCCTTGTCTAGCGAACGGTGGTGCTACAATGCAAGACTTGTACTCTCTGCTCCATATACCGTACGGCCTAGCTTTCTGGACAGCAGCCGCGTTCGCTGGACCAGCTCTAGGGCCTCTTCTATCTGGCTTCTCCGTCTATGCGGAGAATTGGCGATGGTACGTCTTTTCGCTTTGTTGATCCAGCCTTCCCATTTGCGCGATGCTGACTAGACCCGTGTTCAGGTCTCAGTGGGAACTCCTCTGGATGGCCGCCCCGGTCTTCCTCCTCTTTTTCTTCTTCCTGCCAGAAACGCAGCCTACCACCATCCTTCTCCATCGATCTGCCCGTCTGCGCGCACTGACTGGCAATCCGAATATCCACACGCAAACCGAGATCGATCGCAAGGGCACCAAGTTCTCCACAGAACTCCTCGATACTCTCATCAAGCCTTTGGAAATCTGCGTCAAAGACCCTGCTCTCTTCTTCATCAACGTCTACTCCGCGCTGACATACGGTATCTACTACTCCTTCTTCGAGGTCTTTCCTTTGGTGTATTTGGAGATATACGGGTTCAGCGTCGGCGAGATGACGATCGTGTTTCTGTCGATCATCGTGGGATGCGTCATTGCGATGACTATCTACTTCTCCTATCTGAGGTTCTACCTCATACCGGATATCCTCAAGAGAGGATTGAGGCCGCAAGAGCATAGACTCGTGCCCGCAATCTTCGCAAGTTTTGGGGTACCGATTGGATTGTTCATTTTTGGTGAGTCTCATGGCGTGACTAGAGCTGAGATATCAAGTACTGATAGCGGGATGCGTAGGCTGGACAGCGCGTCATTCTGTACATTGGATCGCTTCAGCCATCGGTATTGTTATATATTCGACTAGCGTGTACATCATCTTTCAGGCTGTCTTTTGTAAGTTGTCGCCTATACCTCCATGGTGCTTACGGATCACTTCGCTAATGCTTTTCCAGCATATGTGCCCATGTCTTACCCCCAGTATGCTGCGTCCCTCTTCGCAGGCAACGACTTCTGTCGCTCTGCCTTCGCCTTCGGGTCTGTACTCTTCTCCCGCCCCATGTATCTCAAATTGGGCATAGGAAAGGGAATTAGTCTCCTGGGCGGCTTGAGTGTCATGGGTATTGTAAGTTTGACGAGATCCAGCAGGTCTGCGACTGCGCGCTAACACGAAGTAGATTGGTATGTATCTGATCTGGGTTTATGGTGCGAGGCTGAGAGCGAGGTCGAAGTTCGCTGTATGAGATGCGAGCGACGACGATGACTATGGAGATGGTCTCATGTGGAAGGCTGGGTGGCTGGCCTCATCTTGCCTGCTTGCAGCCCATGCGAGAGCTGCGTGTTTGGTCTAGACGCGATTGGGAATGGACCCACCACGCCCGGACTCCGCGGCTCATCATTACGTGCATCGCTGGAGACGTGTGATACGCGTCGATTCTGATAGCATCTTAGATGCGTTTTCAATAACACCTAATGCATAGCGTCCAAGAGTTCGTGATTCACAATGTCGCGTTCCCATGATATTACGACTTTGATGCCGTGTTCATCGCCTGGAAGTATCGAGCAGGAAGCCCACACAGCTGAGGGCGCGAACGGTATGTCTACGCGTTATCAGCGCAGAGCACAATTATTACTAACGCGCAATCCAGTGCCATGGTATGAATAACGAATACACTCGCTGCCACGACGCGTCGACCTCCGCTCCTTCACGCACAAGCTCCCGCTGACGTTGCGCACGATTTCCGGTGAAGCCACCTGCATGTCCTCGAATTGAAGATTCTAGAAATAGGTGCATTGCATACTTACTGGCTTACGGGCTGATGCGCTGGTCGTCAGGAGCTCCTCGTGTTAGCGAGACTGCCATTTGCCATGGCTGTGACGCCTGCCGCCACTGATACCGCCAATGAGATTCATTGCACCTGCCCTGCCTTGCGACGACTTTCCGGTGAGTGCTGTTGCATATTAGGCCTTATCGCACTACATCAACATATCTCTCGTCAGTTTTACACGGCGCTTTGCACTCTATGGCGCTCTCAATACCGGCTATGTCTTGACATTGTAGCGCTGAACGCTTTCTACTTACATTCTACAACAACCCCACTCTAGCGCTGGCCATGTCAAGCTCCGTGCCTTCCAACACAGCAGGTAAGTACTTACTGTTCAACAAGCGCACCTTTTTGCTGATGTAGTCTTAGAGCACCCGTACGTATCTTATTGTAGAAAGTACCTCGAAGATGCCCGTCAAGATCCCTTGTTCAACGCACCGCATCTGAAAGATTTCTGTGATTACCTATCCGAATCTTCATCGCAATGGCACCCTGGAAGTTACACAAACGGCGCTCGATTTGCTTGGTTGTACACACATTCCATGGCTTATAACCTCCAGCTTTCTTCGGAATTCAATCCACAAAACTATGATCCGATCAAGACAGCTACCAAAAAATGTGAAGATCCTAAATTGCTCTTCCTTGATGGATGTCCCTCGGCTGGTTGTGTGATTCGTTGACCCATGGTGTGATGTTGGTGGTCACGTCACGTCGTGGAGCGAATCGGGCGTAGCGCCTTCCGTACGGCAGGTGCGACTAGACTTCACCCCAGCACACCTCACCATCTCAACTACACCATGGCGAATCCGAACGCCTTTACGGATAGGTTGCGTGGAGCAACAAGGCAGACGAGACAGATGGACGATGATGTGGATGCGTGAGTACCTTCGCTCCTTCCTGTTTCTTGCTAACAATATGTAGGGATTCGGTGGCAGATGCAGGTGCGGATGAGGATATGGAGAGAGCAGATGGTGGAGAAGTTGCGACGCCGATGCTGCCGCCTGGAGCACGCCAGCAAGGCTTCAGCTCGATCATGAGGGCCGAATTCAACCCCGAAGTGACGACCCCATTCGGTGATGATGGGCGGCAGCAGCAGGTGAGGCGGCGAAGGGTCAACAATGAGACACCGGCAGCGCGCGTGCAAAGGCGAGCGGCGGCGAAAGCGACGGCACCAGCGGCAGCACCAGTGACACAGAACCCAGGGCCTGTGCAGCTTGGTCCAGAGTCGCAGGCGATCGCATTGGCAGGACAGAGCTCGCTCATGGGCTCGAGCCAATCTTCAGCAGGTCGTAGCTCCGCCCAAAGGAGCAGCTCTCTTCCTGTGCCGCCGGACTATACACCGGCACCGAGCCGCGCTGGTCCCTCTGGGGTAGTTATCAATCCTGGATTTGCGCAGTTCCCACGAGGAGGACGAGCTGGACGAAGTGGGCGAGATGGACGAGGTAGGCGAGATGGACGAAGTGGACGAGGTGGACGAGAAGCTCCTTCGCTTCATCAGACTCCGAGTGCTGATGAAGATGAACTGGACGCTGAGACCAGTGCTGGCCAGGATGCGACGCCTGGCAGCAGAAGGTCTACTGTGGGTGCGGTGGTGGGAGTTCAGGGTGTACACGTTGACTCTCACGCCACACCTCGTGAGGTTGAATCGCATCGGGATACTACTCCCGATTCGCGTCCAACCGGAGAACGCAGACGTGGAAAGACCCCGGTATTTACATCGGATGGACTCCCCGTTCTGCAAGGCGAGGGCGTCGGGCTTGCTCTCGACGACCTGCCTGAGGGTGCAATGGGGTCGTCGCCGCCTAGGTTGAGTCAGGCCGATCGCCCTGGCTCGATAGCTGGCCAGCATTTAGCAGGAGAGGAACTGGAAGAGTCGGAAGAAGAGGCGGAACAAATGTCTGATGAGGAGTCTTCGTCTGTCCATGAGGCCGCTTGCTTAGTCGCGACCCCTAACTATGCAGCCTTGTGGAACTCGGGGCGTCATAAATCCTCTCGCTTCGCACTCGTGGCACGTGCCTTCATTCATGCGCGCGAGCTGGGCTGGACTACCATGGATGAGACAGACTTCAAGCAGACTGGCACGTCGATCCTTTGCAGCATCCCAGGACGCCATGTGTTGCCGGATCTTCTGGACGGCAATCTTGCCGCAAGGGACATGCGGGAGGGTGACCGCAGCCTCTTCTCTGCGGACTCTTCTTGGATGGATCGCTCTACAACGGATGCTCCTTGCGTGTATGTCGAAATGATGGTGGCCGTCGCGGATGGTGGACACATATCGCGAAGACGTCTGTCGCACATTGTCGAACTGCTGCGCCAGTACACCACAGTGCCGCGCATCGAGGATACCGAGGCGATCGACAATGCCGTCGCGATCGACAACGCGTTCAAGAAAACCGGGAAGAAGACTGAGCGTAAGCACATCCGGGCCGGAAGACACAAGTTCCTCTGGAAACCGGGTCAAGGGGGCGCTTTGGGTGTGCGTAGGGTGACACGGGTGGACATCGTGCGTAGTTTTTGCGACGCGCTGGAGAAACGCGTTGGGCGGGCCATAAATACCCTGCCGTTGCAGTACTTTGGCAATACCCTCAACTTCAGCAAGCGTGAGAAGGAACACACGCGCGATGAACACTCAAGTTTCCTGATGCAGCTGATTCGACACGTGTGCGAAGCGTTGTGGCCTGGGGAGTGCTGTATGAAGGCTTATCCGGTGTTTTTTGCCTGCGATGCTGGCGAGTCGAGATTGGGTGAGATTCTGCTGACGTTGCTAGGGCACGGTCTCGCAGCGTTGGGTACCGGCATGAATATACATCAGCCAGGTATCAACAATGCCACCGCGGACATGAATGACTGGCGTAATGAAGACGCGGTAAAGCTGTGGCGGGACTGTACCAATTTCAGGGACAAGGAGGGAAGCTTCGACGCAAACTTCGCTGTCGAAAGAGCTCTACTGAGTCGTGACGCCAATCCGGGTGAGGGCAATGCTGACGAAGAGGAATTGGCGGAGATGTTGAGGCAGATTGCAGAGGAGGAGAAGGCGTTGAGCGATATGGTTGGAGAGGGGCTCCGAGATAACCTGAACGACGAACGCGACAAGAGGAATGCCGAGATCGATGCTATCGAGGCGGAGCATGGCGAGGCAGTGGCGGAGTTCATGGCAGTTCTCAGACGTCGGGGTGAGGAGGACGAGGTCATGGTGGAAGAGACCTGGGAGGATTGGACTGCAAGGGTGAAAGGGTATTTGTAGGCGCCAATGCGATTGCGAGTGGAGGGGACGGATGTGCGATGATGGTAGAGAATTCACATTTAAACTACTATAAAACGAACATACTCAAAGTGACTGTTGGAAATGACCATGACCGCTTACCTGTGAGAAGAAGAATGACGGTTCTAGGGGCACCCTAGAACCAAAGAAAGAATACGAATATCGAGAGCCCCGATATCCGCTGCCTTACCTGGTAGTGTCAAGGAGACCTGACGGGGGGGACTATGTTTGGCGGTAATGATAAATGACTGCCTCATGGGTTATAGGCTATCTAAATCAGCCAGTCGGCGTGAGCTACACACGGAAATGCCGTGTGATGATGTATCCGGGATAGAAGGCCTCCTCGATCAATTTGTTGGTTTTGCGACAAAGTCGATACCCGCGCTCAATCCAATTCTCGTTCATGCTTCATGCAGGTGTGCATGCAAGCCTGATACCATGGTGACTCGTGAGCTCTCTCGTCCAACCGGATGCCCATAACATGCCGTGTTACGCGTGACGACGGACCTGGGCGCAAAGTAAGAAAAGAATGAATTGAATTTTGACACAACGCCCCATCCCTGATATGTACGTATCATTACTTCGACCAGAATACAATAAGATCATCAATGTCATCATCGTCAAGCTCGCTCGGCTTCTCTTTGAACTTTGGCCCATAGCCTTCACGCTTACTCCGAAGCCTGGAGTAAACCTGATAACAGTTCGCCAGCTCAATTTCTGCCTCTTCTTTCTTCCCCAATCCACTCAACGCTTTATACCGCATCCAGCACGCTCGGGTCTTCTCGGGCATATACGTATGAGAATTGGAGAATGCCTCAAGAGCATGATTCAGGAGAGCAAGTGCCATGTCGTAATTCCCCAGATGTATGTGATGCTCTGCGACTTTGACGAAGACGTCGGCCGTACGGTGATGGCGGTTGCCAAGGGTTGACTTGTAGTGCATAAGCGCACGGCGGTGGTAGTCTAGACTGGACTCCACATTTCCCAAGGCGTGGAGAAAGCGGCCGGTGATGAAGGATACTCGGTCTTCTTTGCCGAACTCATTTTCGCGGTCTCGCAACCCCTTTTTGAGGGTTTTAGAAGCTAGCTCGTTGTTTCCTTGCAGCCAATACGCCAGACCCAGATTAGCGAGCTGCAATAATGGTTAGCGTTCGTGACATATACAACGGATCATTTTACTTACGGGTAGCGAGATCATGGTCTCACTGAACTTGCGGTACTTGCGCATTTCTTCGATGGACTTTAAGAAGCACTTTTCTCCTCTCTTCCAGTCACGGTTGAGCATGTGCGCATTTCCCAACTCGTTCCAAGAGATGGCGAGACGCATGTCCTCGGTGTCACTCTTCAGGCTCTCTTTTACCATCTCATCATTGAACATCGTATGATACTGCAATGCATCAGTTGGCTCGTTGATCTCTAGAGCTATGCATCCCCTGTTGTGTGCAATCTCGGTAAGCGAATAGTTTAGCATCGAGAGAGTTACCGTGCTGCCATGCGCGAGTTCGGGGCGCTCCAGCAAACGGAGCTTGAGAGACTCGCATATCGACTGGGCCATGTTGTTGGAGTAGATCGCATCCGGCGACTGGCCACGTTCGTGTTGGTACCAACCACTATCTATGAGGAGCTTCGCAAACTCGTAGTCGTCAAATGAGTCCGGGGATGGCGTAATCAACGGAAATACAGTCTTGAGGCGCTGTATGTGGGGAAATAACTCCTCGCAATTCTCCCAGCGAGCGATGCCATGTCTCCAGGTGAGCTCCTGAAAAGTCCAGCTATCGTTGATCAATTCCACACATGCAAGGAAGTATTTCCTCATCTCAGGCTGACGCAATCTGGCTCGTGCTACATCTTGTACCAACCTGTGTACTGATAGCTTTCTTTTCTCCTTATTGCTGGTGAGGAGGGATCGCGCCAAGAGCTCGGTGCGCGCAGCAACATAGTCATTTTTGACAGATTGAACCAACTCAGAGTCGTCATCCTTTATTGGAGAAGTGAAGATCGATTCTGGGATTGCGTCAGGGTCCAGCATAGAAATGATGTTGATAAGCGCTACGCCTTTTCCAAGGCGGTCAAAGGCCCAAACAGAAGCCACGTTGGACTGATAGTTGCTTGTCGAGCGCGATTTATCGGGAGTTTGCCAGTCAAAGAAGGCCTGTGACCCTTCATGATCCTCGAAAGAATAGAGGAAGTCCGCAAATGACATATTTTTGGATGCAACGATAGAGCCCATTTGGCTGAGGGCTAGAGGTAGACCGCCCAAACGATTGACAATGGTTGTTGCAGCTGTCATCTCATAACCGGCAATGGGTTGTTTGCCGGTCACGTGGAATAAGTACTGCGTAGCCTCGGGTACGCTGAATGGTTTCAGCTCCAGAGATGCAGACCATGAGTACGGGTTGCGACTAGTGATGAGGACAGAGCCCGGGCCGTTATATGGCCAGAAGCCATTCAACACTTCGCCATCCTCCACACCATCGAAGACCAGGAGCCAAGAAGCTTTTCCTTGAGCTTTTCCGCTTTCTCGTGATCTGTCTTTCTCCGGATTGACCAGCCACCCTTTCAGCACATCCCTTGTGTAGTTCAAGTCCATCGCATCTCGAGAATCAGCTGCTACCAGACCCAAGCCAATGGCCAAGTCTTTGTAATCCTGCGCTATCTTCCCTGCATCTTCTGCATGAACCCACAAGATCGCATCAAACTTGGTTCTGTGCTTGGCCACAAATTCTGCTGCAATTTGAGTTTTCCCCATACCACCAGGTCCGTAAATCGCGTAACATCTCGGCCAGCTTACAGGTTTGTTGTCCACAGCTTCGTCTTCAGCAACGCCACATATGGCCTTTTGCATCGCATTGAGCGCATAATCCCGGCCGTAGAAGTTCCTATCCGGGGATACAGGTACCTGGTAGGCAGGGAGCGTTGGTCCGGAAAATGCGTTCGACGTGAAGTCTTCAAGGAAAAGCCGCTGTAAGAGAGGCTGTAGGGTCTCATCGCGATCATGCCCGAAGTATGGTTGCCGTTCAATGAAGCTCCAATCTTCTTCGTACGAAGAGTCAAGAAGTGGTGTTATCTCACCACTCCTGGTCGGCATCTCAGGTGAGATGGTACTGTCTCTCGAGAAAAGAGAAGTTTCGTCAACATAAGAGCTTGCGATGGTACTGTCAATGTCCCCAGGAAACGCAAGACTTGACGCCCCATTAGATTCTAGGACTCTGGAGCCGTTCTCGCTCTGCACAGTGACATCTTCTGCTCTTCCTGTTTGTGATGCGCCATCTGAATGTTCTTCGGCCTCGTCTTGCCATGGCAAAGCCTTGACGGCGAGAGACTCCAGATGAGCTGCGATGTGTTTAATGATCCGATCGGACACTGATCTGTCTTTCTGAGCTTGACTCAAGCCAGACATATGACCTGTCCCGTTTTCGCTGGGTATATACGAACACAGAGGGCACTGTGGGAAGATGATAGGCGTCGAAACTTTGCTCTTTTTCGCTAACAAGGGTAACTGTGACTCAGTGAATGATTTGGAGTGGTGACTGCGCATGTGTACAAAGTACTCTTCTTCGCTTTCAAACCGCGATGCTGAATGGGACTTGGATGTGCACCTCCAACGGATGTTGTGCTCCTGGAGATGGGATATCCAGGTGGCTTTGGTCTCGAAAAGCGTTTTGCCATCTGGACATCCTTCAAAGAGACAGGTGTAGGGCTCAAGGTCCTCTAGGACATGTCGTCTACAGTCAAATTAGCTACCACGACTTCGCTGTCCGCAATCATCGCATAGCAGATAACAGGCGTATTCGCTCAGGCGATCCAATGTAGCGTGTGATCACGTACCTCCAGTGAGAAGCTTTCGACTCCTTTATTGGTAACATGAGGCAGCAGTATGGACATTCGAACTCCTTACCGCCAGCAGCTGGTTTGGGTGGACGGGGTAGTTCTATTGGTGCACTCGAGGAAGGTGTGGCAGTAAAAGCGGTAGACTGATTTGATTTTGCGTCCTCCAGTGCTCGATCAAGTGGCAGATTCTGCTTGCGGAGTGCGGATGCGGAAGTTTGTGATAGGTCGGAGTTCTTTGCCTGGTGAAGCTCTAAGATCAGAGTGGGTGATAGTAACGGCTCATCTGCTAAATCAGAGGCACGTGCTGTTGTATCCGTCTCACGATGTTTGGCGTCATGTCCCATGTCTTCCCGCGTGCTTTCCTTCGATGAATGCACCACAGACAATTTCCTTTGGTGCTTTCGTTGGTATAAGAAACGCTGCCGACGTATGACAATGCCATGCGATAATTTGTTGCGCAGGAACTCAGGCGCATGTGGGAAGCAATGATACACTATCTGAAGAGCAAAAGCTGCGAATGTCTCGTTGAGCACGTTATCTTCTTCATCTTTCATGATGAACTGTTCAGCCTTCTCGTTCCGAGCTGCTTTTGAAGGCTGGCGAATCAATAGCGAAAGCCGATAGAGTCGATCGATCGCTTTCTCTATGCCTGATAGCCTCTTCTCTGGCAATGAGTCCTCCGCTGAAGTAGCAATGGTCAGCTCATCTTGAACCGAATCCGTCTCGGTTCCTTGGAACGATGATGATATTGCAGAAGAGGTCGCATCGTCGAATGATGCATCTCCAATTGATCCATCTCCAGTAAGACTGTCGATACGATAGAGCGCGTCGGCTGGTCCTTCTGGTCTCAAGCTCGCAATAGCTAAACGCATGCGGTCAGCCGATATTTCCTACTTCGATTTTTTGATCGGGCTGCATGGCGCTCTGTTATCCTTTCGTTCGGGTCTACGTCGCTTGATGTCGCAAAAATGTAGGGTAATAGGGACTTGCCTCGTTTGGTGAAATCTGTCAGAGTGAGAAGGAATTCCAGCATGAATTTCTGCGTTTGCTCGTTGTCACGAAGTCGGTAATCGAGCGAGGCGTGACCTTGAGCAAAGGCTCCGATGTTCGCCGCCCATATCTTGAACCTGGCGTACTGTTCTTCAACCCAATTGACGTTGTATGCATCATCCGACTTGTCGCATGCGAGACCCAACTCTTCACTAATCTCAATGAGCAACTCAAATTGGCCTTTGCAACCCTGGGCAGCTGCGCGAAGCTCATAAGACATGCTGAGGGGCAGGCTGATCCCATCAGTCGACTGAACACGGCGGGGGAGAAACTAAGAGCAAAGGTTGCAGCAGAGCCTCGTCCGGTGAGAAACGTAGATTGAGTGCCTGAGATACAGGGTAGAAATATTACTGACGCTATTAATCGGTCAGTGATGGTGTACGGTATGAGCCAGGTATTGGCAGTCAAGAAACATACATCGGCGGGGTAGAACGCCCGTCAGCCCAATGACGCCCTCTTTCGTTCCAGCTCACCGGATCTGTCGTAGGCTGCGCTGCGTCTGCCTTGGCCTTCGTTAGATAATAGCCTGCCCTCCACCTGGAGAAGGCATAGGCCTCTGTTTCGCAACAGGATGTCTGGTGCCGAGCTTGCTTTGGCTATTGTGCCACTCGTCATTGTATTGATCGAACATCACCAGACCGTCTTCCGCAGAGGCAAGGCATTAGCTTTCTCCAAGATCAGCAATAACCAACAACTAGACTTCTACCAAGAATTGCATGCAGAGATACTTCTACTCAGCTTAACTCTGGAGAAAGTACAGATCAACTCTTCGAGAGTGTTGTCTAGCGGGGCATTATCGGAGAAAACTCGAGCTGAAGCAATCGAAATTGCACTTGGCGAAAATGCGAACCACTTCAATGAGATCCTGAATCGAGTTTTGAAGAGCATCGACGATTTGGTGCGAGAAAAATCAAGCGTGCTGACGGACGGTGATACAGTAAATTCCCCGTCACAGGACCTCGAAGATGTCACCGCTTAGGCTAACTGTCGCAGAACACCCAACATGCGATGTTACACAGGCTTCATCGCTTTGGGGAGACGATCAAGTCGGACGAGGCGACGAAATCGGCTCGCGAGAAGTTTCGGTTTGCCCGCAATGAGCAGACACGGAAGGTGGCGATGAAACGTATACGCGAGGGAGTACGAACTTTGGAGCTTGTATTAGGCTCTTCGACGGAGATCTTCGAGCAACAGCAACATACGCCTCGCAAGAAAACCCCAGTCGATAGAATGAGAAGACTGCCCGAAGAACTGTTCAGGAAATTAGCGAGCAAATGGTCCTGCTCTTGTCGCACACGACATCTAGCGAAACTGTGCTTGTGGAATTGCTGTTGTACGTACGACAAGCGCGGTGATTCGAGCGACAGTCTCGACATCATTGTATCTGTGCCCGTCGAAGATCAAAGATCGTTTCACTGGCAGAAAAGCAGTATCCGCGTCACTCAGAGGTTAGTCGCAGAATCATACTTAGTACGTTGCTGAGCTTTACTGAAACCCCGTGGTTAGCCAACAAGATCGAGCCAGAAAAAGAAATCACAACGAGCCTCAGGTTCGGTTTGCAGGTGGCCAAGCTCCGTCTACGTCTTCAACAAGCACTCCCTCATCGGTACCGCCGGGTCGCAATATTGAATCAGAGTCGCTATGTGATCTGCTACAGAGAGCCAGGGCTGCGAATACGAGCCTACAGATCTTGTTTGAGAACGACATGCTCTGGCAACAAAGAGCTAAGCGACCGGACTCACAGATCCGCCACCAGTTGGATGCATCCTTGATGAGTTTGCTGGGAGATGCCGAATGCTGGAAAGAAAGCAGTAAGCCTCGCGACAGATCGATACTCGCTGTACGCCTTGCGCACGCAGTCATGCACTGCTCTGAAGGTCCGTGGCTTCGCACAGACTTCGACAAGAAACAGATCTTTTTCTTCCGGGAACATGGTGCTCAACATCCAGACGTTGGCCGACCGCTCTTCGCGCTGGACTTTACACATCCACAGACGACGGTTGACGAGGATGACAATCTGTTCTCGGTCCACTCGAATCCCACCATTCTGTCTCTGGGCATCCTGCTACTCGAGATCAATGACGGGATTAAGATAGAGGATCATTGGGCTCCCGAGGATCTCATAGACGGCTTGATACCGAATGAGAGTACAAACTTGACAACAGCACTTCGTCTACTGAAGAAACTCGACGGTAAGCTGGTGATTCGATCACAGAAGGCGGTAAGGGCGTGTCTTGAGTGGGATAGATTCAACGACGGAAGAGAAGATGAGGACTTCGTGAAGCGAATGTATGAGCTCATCGTTGAGCCACTAGAAGATGTGTTGCAGCACTCTTGGGATGTCACACCAGGGCAGCTGGGGTTCGATGGGATACATACGAGTCGAGAGGCTGGGTCGGGGGCAACATAACGTAACGGGAACGCGTGCAGTGGATTGGCGATGCGGCCCAGTTTTGATGCGCAGGTGACGTGATGCACACGTTTTGATTGGATTCAAGCCGATGCCCCCTGATCCACCTCAACAACCCGTGCTGCCCAGCCTTCTTCGACGCACAGGGCAACTAAACTGTGAGGACGGATTTTGCAGTCCAACAAACATACGGCTTGCCTCTCGTCGCCTTTCGTACTCATCGTAGTTACATGAGAAATTGTTACGTATGCCGTGTCCTATATTGTACGGCACCTGCAAGTTTGCGCCCTGCGCATATCGGGAACGTTTCGTCGCAACCTACTGACCCACTATAGTCCTCGCTAGCAGTGCTCATCGGAGACTCCCACGATGACGGCTTCCGCTACTAGTCCTACCGCCGATTCCCAAGCGGCTGTTCTGTCTCCAGACGCGATCGTTCCTACGGGACCCAAAAGACAACCGTGGCGCGAGGTCTGGCCTGCGCCTCGAGAGCCTCAACAACAAGCCCAAATCTATGGCTTTGCGAAAGGCGAGGTAATGGTGTTCGATGGCAATGCGGGCAATTTCTTCGCTAGAGATGGCTGGACCGTCGAACAAGAGAGCGATACACAAGGCAAGGTTACTGCAAGGGGCGCAGAACAGAACATTGGGCAGCCGTCTAGGCGCTGCGGCACAGTTCCATAGTACGCTATGTGCGCTTTGCCGAGGGGACATAGAACGTAGCGTTCAAATACATATAGACTATACTTGCCCGTGGTTCAACGTGTCGAAACGTCAGATGACTCGTCGAAGCCTCCGTAATACACCAATGCCCTTACCTCAATACTCTCCCGTGGCTCTCCCTTCTCAGCCCCAAGCTCGAAAGCAGTATGCGGTACTAGAACATTGCGCAATTAGCCTTTGAACTTGCTGCACGATCACTTCCCATGCTTGACCTTCGTCATATCCACGTACCAGGTTTTGTTCCCGCCTTCGCATCAGTGTCGCTTTGCAGAAAAATCCACGCCTCATCCGCGCATTGATCACTGCACCACCACCATTCCAGTCCTTCGCTCCAATACAACTGCCGGTTCTCCACCACATAATCGGGATAAACCAGGTCGCACGGTTCCAGGTCACTCTTGATGTCAATGGAATGCGGGTCGCAAAGAGCAAGTGGCCAGTCTTTCACGGGGCCACGCAATGGTTTCCAGAAACTGTGACGCTCGGATTAGCAAATGATAAACGAGGATGTCTCAAGAGCAGGAGACTTTACTTAACACACTGGGTTCTCTCTTTGACAATATCCAAGTTATTGGGATTGAGCTGCTTGGCCATATCCATCGCCCAGCTTGTCGTAGTATCTACATGCGCAATACTCGTCGGTTGATTCCATCGATAGCTTTCCCCAGTACTTATTGGAAACTCTGCATGTCTCTTACGGACGGTATGCTCAAAGATCTGCACTTTCTGGGCGCCAAGAAATTCCTTGATGAGGTTTGCAACCTCGCGCAAGTAGATGCGTCTCACGGCGTCATCGTCGTCAAACTGTGCGTATGGTAATTGGGATTGGAATGGCAAGAGCTGGAAACCATGTCGGGAGAATTCCAGCGGCTCAGAACGTGAGCGAACATCATTGATGATGATATTGCGGTTGGTGAGCTTGATGTTCGAGGGTGGAAAGGCTGAGGGTGGAGTGAAGCGGAGGGAGTATGGTTTTTCGACCTCATACAAAGCATCGCGTTGAAGGAAGTTGGTCGTGGATCTTTTTTTCATCGTATTGGAGAGTTCCATTGCTGCAATGCCGAAGGAGATGTACTCACGCTCAGAGACTTTGACCATGTATGCTTTTCGAGGAGTCAGCCTCGTATCAGTACCCCTCACCGATCATACGTTGCACATCCCAGTCATGGCCAGCGAAGGTGTACTTGTTATTTTCTCATTATGAAAAAGCTTGTTGTCAGGATCGATTTCCACGGGAAAGTTTCCTGGGGCTTGTAGATGACATTTTGCCAAAACGACTACAAAATACAAACTACCGCATACTTCCCAGTCAGCTGATCATCAACTCTCCAAATCATACAGCAAGCACCCCCCAGTCCTGAAATTGTACACAAAAGCCTTGCCTACAGCTCCTTCCCCATTTGTTCCACCTTCGCCCTTGTTCTCTACCCACTTCGCTCTATAACCCAGCAGTAAGTCGTGCAGCTCCTGCAGGTATTTCCTCTCAGCAAGCGGCATCTTTTGTATGAAGTAACGCCACGAGTCCGGATCGCTGAGACGCGTCTCTTTGAGCAAGTTCATGACCTCTTCCTTTGACTCGATAGCAGCGATGGGCGCGGATTGGAATGCGGAAAGTAAATCTGTCGACCTTGACTGCGCGGCCTCAACGATAGACCATTTGTTGCTCTTCTTGGATCGGTGCTGGGCGATAAGGACGTCGACGTTCGCTTTTGGCGCGTTGGAAGTGTTGCTTGAAGTTGGTGGTGGAGCTTTGATTAGGCGGGCTGCGCTTCCTTCGCGTTCTTCGCGGTCTCGGAGCTCGTTGCGGAGGTAGTTCAGAAGATCGGTACTGCGCAAATCTGTGTCTTCTTTCTTTGCGATGGATTTGACCTTGAGCTCGGGCTTGTCTGGGGCTACGCCGTGTTTAATCACGATCACCCAGCTATGTCTGTCTTCGCGATAGTGACGTAAAATGTCTTCGATGGAGTGCGCATCGACGGCGAGTTCGGCGGTATAGCCATGGGCGATGAGGTCTGCTACCATCTTGATGCCAGTGGAACGGAGGACGTTTGGATCGAAGCTGGCGACTAGACAGTCGCAGCGTCGTG